CCCAGCTTTTCTATCCATCCTGATGCCAGTTTTCTTAAATATTCCGTTGTCACTCCCATCTCACATCACTCATTAAACCTACTTCCTTGCGGTACCACCAAGAGTAGTTACTTTTCTATAAAACACATTGAAAAGCGACATTAGATTAGTGAACGATATATAACCCCCATAGACCATTTTGCACATTCTGCACCACCACGGGCTATCCTTGACATATTGATGGCCATATGCTTCCAATACCTTGCACCAGGAATTCTTGAAAAGGGCTATGATAAGGCATAATACTATAACACTGGACTGAATATCGTTCCGCCGTTTCTTCAAGGTGTCTCGCTTAGCCCATATATCAGATACACCTACCCACTCCAACCTGAAGACTCGCCAGGCATAAAGATTAGGGGATAGCCACAATATTGATCAAAGCGACGGTTAGAAGCGCAGCCCTCATTGAACACCGGACTGGTAACTCCCTCAAGCGCGATGGATGCCTGCGATGTCTGATATTGTCTCCTCACCGTGGTCTCTGGAAGACCTGGCTAGGTATGCCCAAACGCTCTGCAAGTAGGCAGCTAGCTGTCAAAAGAACTGTTACAAACCCCAATTGTATGTGTTACTGATTTCTTGGTTCTGTTATGGATGGTAAAACACAGTTCATTACATTCTCAGCCTATTTTCTCTGTGTAAAATAATTACAGACAAGGGAACTCCTCATAGATTAAATTCAAAAAATCTTCTGTGTGTTATCTATCCTAGCAGGGACCCTCGTCCAAAACTGTCTCCGGATATGGGTGCAGTCATTATATCGTTGAAGGTGAGAACTGCGAGACATCGTCCTCGTTGGAGGAAACCTTCTATGACAAATATATAAACCTTATTAAATGCTTGTCCAGTGTGGTGACCAATCTCGAAATTCAATTTCCCTACTTCTATACAATATGCAGTGCTATATAATGCACCAGCCATGTGCTATCAATCAATGATGTTCTGACGGAAGTTTTGTAAGATGGAAAATAGATCTGAGCAGCATTTGGGTTGCTCTGAACAACAGTCAGACTTCTCCACAACCTATAAACGACAGTAGCATGAAGCTATGACCGGAGCATCAGCGGTAGCCACCGCGATATCATGTGCGGGCTGGATAAAAAGCAACTCAACGGTCTTACCAAGGCGTGTAACACACTCATGCAGCCCGTGCAATCCCCATACGTTGTTCAGCTTTGCTCTGTGTCGGGGAAAGTCCTTTGCAGACCCAAGATCCTCTATAAATAACACTTCAGCTTCCTCCACCCGGTTCTGTTCAAGAAGCAGACCGCCCAGGGCATGACGAACAGGCTGCATCCAAGGAGGATCGGAGGAAGACAATGCGTCCTCCAGTTGGATTGCTTTTTCGCAGAGAGGCAAAGCAACCTCGTAATTTCCTCTACGGTACTCCAGCTCGCCATGTAACATAGCCGACGAGACCTTCAAAACGCCCACCTGCTTGCATGGTATACTGTTAAAACGAGTCGAAGGGACAGCTGCGCGGGCGGCCTCAAAGTCTTGCTGGACGGCCTCCGCCTCTTCGATTCGTCCCAGCGCACTATAGGCAAGTCCTCGGGCGTACAGTATAGTCGCAGTAGTTGCGCACCTTAATTTGGGATCGACAGGAAGCTCAAGACGAAGGATCTCGTCCCACCGACCAAAGCGCACCAACACGTGGGCCTTGCTGCCCAAGAAGCTTTCGACAGCATCAGCGACCGGAGGACTCGTGATAGAAAGGAGTTTGTCATCTATAATTTGTTCCAACTTCTCCGCTGCCGACATCGCGTCTACAAAGCGGCCGCACATCATAGCCGCGTAGAGCTTCGCACAAATGTAGTGCACCCGATAACCCATGTACGAGATCGTGCCAGTTTCTTGAGCAAAGTACTTATCGTCTGCAACCATGGCCTCATGATTGGAGTCAATTGCGCGACGGTAGTCTCCGACCGCCGCATCGATGTGAGTTGGCATGTGCAGCATGTGCGATCCATCAGGCACCAGGTGTCGTAGTCGATCTGCCGCCGGCAGTGCGAGTTCCGGGTTTGGAGACATCTCCATAACGTGGATATGCAAGTGGCAGAGCGCCGGGTGGTCACGCCCGTCGGATGATAAGCCAGTCTCGATGACCTGCTGGGCTTCGACCGTATGAGAGCCGGTCGGTTTTCCGGTATCCAAATCCCACAGACCGCGCGGTGTCATGCACATCAGTGCATCAGCAAACAAGGCGGCGATATCCGGGTCGCTGCCAAATTCCTGATACACAGGCCGCATAGCATCTGCGTATGCACGATCGAGTGGACTCAGGTCGTCCGGGATGTTTTCCGTGGGTGGAAAGCGTGCAGCGATGGCCTTGACCAGTGCTTGTTTCACGGGGGTGATTTGCTCAACCAGCTGAGTGGCACGTGCGATAGCGTTCTTTGCCCTGTTGATGGAGTCTCGAAGGTCCTTTGGATCGAAATATGTCCACGCCTTGTTGTAGTTTGGGCCCGCGGAATAGGCGATCCCCCACAGGGCCATTGCACAGTCAGTATCATATTGGATGGCTCGTGCGAAACATTGCTCTGCTTCTCCGACGTTGAAAGAATACGCCCAGACTAGGCCACGGTCGCATCACAGTTGGGCGCGTTGTGACGACGTAGTGACCTGGCGACGGTGTCGACCGAGATTAAAGTATGCCTCATCGCCAGTTGGATGACAGTCTCTAAATACCCATTAGATGGAAAATCGTAGAGTAAGGATAGAGGAATACCACGTCATGTTGAAGGGAAATGGAATATTTTAGTAGTCGCTTCACTTAGCCAGTATACAACACTTCAATGTATGGACAATCGATGTAACTTACTTACTATTAGATTGTATTTATATTACAAACCCCGATCGCCGAACAGCACCAAGGCATCTATGGCTTGTCTTAGTAATCGGGTAGGAGGGATGCCAGCGGGCAATCCTCTAAGACGGTGGCAATGAGGTGAGGATTTTGTAGGTGGGATGTTCCGAGCTGTCAGTATTACACGGTGAAGCATGCCGGCGTATCCCACCGGCATTTTACACATTGACGGCATCAATTTTCTGACCGATCCTTACTTTGGTGCCGTGAAAGGAACGAAATATGATGAGACCCAGAAACTCAACGAGGAAGGCATTTCTCAGCTCGGCTTCACTTCCATTCCACCACCACATCTAGTCAACCTCATGGGCCCATCCGCCCGCCTTCATAATCTGCCTGGTGTTCTGAAGCCACGGAGACCACCTCCACAATCTAGATCCCGAGGGCCGCAACCTGCTCGATGGACGACGGATCTTTAAGACCATGGACGGGGCCAAAAATCGAATGCTAATGCACAGCCACAACATCTCTCTTTCGAATTTCCTCTCTCTGTTTGCAATGTAAGCAAAAGAAAGTAGAACTCAAAGCAAAGGAACAAAGAACTTTGCAAGACAAAAAGAAAACGTGGAAAGGAAAGAATAGAAAAGAAACAACTAATCAAGTTCCATCGACCCTACTGGGGACATCGACAGTTCGGAGGGGTGGCGGGTCTTCGTTCTTAACACTGCAGCCATGTTTAAGGCTTCCAGGATTATAAAGGAGAGTAGGCCCTTGATAGTACATTGACTAGTAAGCCCCATTAGCCAATGCACCGTATGTACGGTGTACTATTATGAAGTCAGCTATCATGGCCTCCAAGAAATAAACTTTCTTTACCTTCATGCCATGCGAAAGCCTGTAGAAATGGAAGGTATATCCGTCGGATAGAAGGCCAAAAACAACCGCACGCTCTCCGTCTCCAGCAGAATGTCGGGCCTTGACCACCATCGCTAATTATCAGTCAGCAGTGGATAGGATTTCAAGAGCTTGGACATTGTACAACTTACCCATGTAAGATAGTAATCCAGCTGGGCCGCAGCCGAATTCTGCGTGTCTCTTGGCTTCGACGATGAGAAGATTACTGGCATTCTTGGATGGGTGGTCGTAGAACAGCGTGTAATCTGCTTGGCCTTGGAGCTTCTTTCTTTGCCTGCCCATGTGAATGACGTCTCAAACTGCAGGTTTACTCCGGCTGTCCCAGGCTTTTCGTAAGCGCCCAGGATATATGTTGTCGTAAGTAGAAGCGTGTCGAGTCGTGTGCTCGCGAGGGGCGCGTTCCAAGGGGCGCGCTCATAGGTCTTCTCATATGCATTGAGGGTCCACCCTAGCTCTCAATATTAGAGTAGAGAAATATAAATTAGGACAATAGAGTAACTTACCAACGTATTCCATTTCACTTTTACCCTTATCCGTAGACACAGCAAAGCCTTCAAACGCGGCCTTATCCCACTTGAATGTACCGCTGGCATCGGGACTAATACCAAAGAGTCTTTGAACTTCCTGCATACTCAAATCCCCAACTGCTATCGTCGGGATCGGTAAATGCTTAGCTTTCAATTGGTTTATGGAGGCCAAAGCCTTATCCATCTCACGGTTGTCCGCCTCGGTCAGTGTATCCGGAGGCATCTTGACAAAGGGCAGCGCTATCTCTGCAGCCTTCAGCAAAACTTCCTGCATCTTGGTAGCCATGCTTGTGCGTGTTTTCGAAGAAAAATAAGATAGATCATGATAAAACCGAAACCTTGGTGGATGGGGGTGATTGCTGTGAGAACCGGACTTGAGGGAGTGAGACGCAAACTTCTCCGTACGTTGAGTTGACGACGAGAGGTTTGCTGGCATAATTCTTTATTGCCTGGTTAGGAAGAAACGATGAAAAAGATCTATGTACGGCCATATATTCGAACTTGCATACAAATTTGTATGGAGAAGGGAATTTCCGAGAGACTCGTATACATCTGACGGGTGGTGGTGCCTCAATAGCCCAATCAGTCAGAAAGGCAATATTTTCCACCGCCCACGCATGAGATGATATAGTATGCACATACTTACTACGCTTCATCTTGTTGACATCATTTCGTTTTCTGTTCCTCCTGCCCCTTGCCAGGACACTTATATAGCCGAGCAATACGCAAAAATGGATCAACCTCATGGAGTCTTCCCTACAGAGGCGATATTGGAAGCAATCCTCCTCCAGACCGAGATCCGTACGTTACTGACATCTGCAACACGGGTATGTCGCTCCTGGCACGGTATCATACAGGGCTCTGCCAGTCTCCAAGCCGCTTTTTTTCTGAAGCCAGCCGAAGAGCCAGCATTCTTTCTCAAGCCTTCCGAGAACGGAGTCCGGTGGAGCTATTGTAACCACAAAAGTATCCGCAATCTGTTTATCGAGACAGACATATGGCCTGACTTCTTCCGAAAGCGCCTCCACAATCCATCGGATAGAGCCTGGCAGATACAGGAGGAGTTTCCTCTCATTGATCCTGGCAAAGAGAAGGCATACCTCCGAGAGGAGGCTAGCTGGAGGCACATGCTTCTCCGTCAACCCACCTCCCATCTAGCCCTCATTGAAGAGCGTGCCTATGCACCCTGTCCGGTAGTGTCACAGATTCCATTTTACGTCAATAATGGTCAGTTCAAGGCTGTCGATGATTTTATCCGCTTAGGGCACCTGGGTGATGGAGTTGGCCACGGCGACTTGATACCAGGCCGAGACATGCTGTTGTTTTATGATAAGGATGGAAGGCTTACAGATAGAGAGCTCAAGTATGCCAAGCACAGGGCTGTGGCAATATCTTACTGGCTGACCCAGTGTGACGCCGTAATTTTCTGCTGTCTGTCCAACTTTTGTGAGCCGCGTCCTTTTGAGGGTCTTGGGTGCCTCACCTTTGTTGACAACTTTCTAGAAGATCTCGGCCGCGGGGCGCAAGTTCGGCGCCACCGTCGTGTGGCAGCTTGAAGGAAGGCAAGGACCGTTGTTTGACTCCGGACTATCCCGGGCGGTAGCGTGTATGGCCTTGTGTCTTATTAACACATCAGCATACTAGCTAACTAGTACACTTTTTAGCAGAAGCCTACGAATGGGGATTGCGATCTCTCGTTCCTCAAAACCAAGCTTCATCGGCAGGGTCTCCGTCTTATTGATCCAATATGAATTGAACACCGGTTGTGCGAATTCTCGCAACCCAGTAGTGCTTTCACCCGAGCCACCGGAAGCGTTTTCATCCGTGCTCGTTGGCATTCGATGGTTCAAATTGAAGTATAGCTGTAACAAGCTCCATTCCCCTGCTGCCAAGGCGGGCAACCCTGTGAGAGAGGCTATCGTCTGTACACGTTGGGCCTTGGGGAACATTTAGATTGTTTATTCGGGAAAGGAGAGGCATCAGGTTTACGAGGATGTGATTATGAGATCCGTGGGGGGGGCGGGGTGGTTGATGGAAAGCTGGGATGAGAAAGGAATGAGGAAGGAAGTGAAAGGACTTTGTGTTGTTGAAAGGCTTGGTGACATAATGCCGCTGGTCGGGAAGGAATGATAGAGATATTTGGCCGTTTATACAAGTTTGTATGGTGAATTGAATACGCGAGTGACTACTAGTAGGGCACGGTGCCTCGGGGTCACAGCCACTAGAAATATTCACCACCCACAACCGTGCACAGTGATTTTCAGAGAATCAGCCGAAGGAACCAGACTTCAAGAGATCTGTTCTTGTTATATCGCCCTCTTGATATATATTATGAACCTACAATGAACAAATACCCATTGCAATACCCCCAGACACTATATACTACAAGTATGTCCATGATTTACCCGACGTACTGCCGCCTGAGCGAGTCAAGTGGGCTCGATCCCCAGTTTTTTGGCCCGCGTCGAAGCTAAGACATTAGCTCCATCGTAGAGTTGAGGCTTCTTTCCATTCGTTCAAAGTGTTTGACAGACCTCTCGCCCCTTTTATTACGTGCTGTCACCATCTCTGTCCTCTTTCGACCCTTCCATATCTTGTGTGGATATACGTCAATTCTTGAGATCTTTTGATATGAATTCCTACGATCCACCGTACGGGTTTCCTCTTCGCAGAAATGGCACCTGCCTTTCCAGTGAAACAAGCTGTGGTCACACATGGGGGGGATTCTATGCCTGCTGCCCGGGCGATTCGGTTTGCCCAGGGGCTTCACAATCAATCTTGAACAATGTTTGCTGTCCGACCGAATCCGACTGTACTGCACCACTTCAAGCGACTCCGCACTGCGCAAATGATACCTGGATAATGTTCAACCACACTGGATTCTTCTGCTGTTTGCCAGAGCAAACAGGGTTCTGGACGGATAGTCCCCAAGATGCTGTTGGCTGCTCCAATGGGGCGCCCACCGAGCGCGGGGAAACAATCTTGAATACAGAGACTCAGAGTCAGTGGGGGCATTCGGCAATGCGATTTCAGTTTTGATTCTGATAGAAAATCTTCAATATCTAGGCTTCTCCTCAACCTCTTCCACTGCATCCGCTACCAGTAGCGCCTCTGCTACCAGTAGCTCCTCTACCGAATCCACATCCACAAGTTCTCTACCTGCCGCAACAACGACCTCAGCCTCCGACTCATCGAACAGCTCTTCCTCGAGTAACCATGCTGGGGCTATTGCAGGAGGCGTCGTTGGTGGCGTTGCCGGAGTCGCATTGATCGTTGCCCTTCTTTGGTACTTCTTCCTGCGTGGCCGAAAACAATCTCAGCAGCCGCCAGCTGAGGAAATGGCCGTTCCCATGGCCGGCACTCAGAATCCACCCAAGCCCCCGGCCGAACTGGAAGCCCAGAAAATACAACATGAGCTAGAAAGCCGGATGGACCAACCAGTTCATGAGTTGCCAGCCAGCCACTACTAAGCTACCCCTTTTTCTTCCATTTATTGCATGACGGCCTCTGCAGGTGCTGGTTACGATCGTCGATTGGGCCGCAGCAATTAACTTAAGATACTATGGAGAAACCTCAATTCTTCGATACAGTAACCTCATTTAACATGTCTCAGAATCAAACCACAAAGAAGAGGTGGTGGGCGGATAGAACGACTTCCTTCTCAGCGCCCGAACACTTCAGTCAGCTTACCGCAGCAAGGAAACATATTGCTGGTTCGAGCTTTTCCACAAATTCTTCAGCGATGATCCTTCGCCAAAGCGATGGAGGATTTAGGGTGGGGGCCAGGGTCCATCATTGGCGCCTCAAGCATTTTTCTCCACCGCGGGACCCAGCCATCACGACAATCCCAATCTCCCGACGATACAACCCTACCTTCCACCTGGTCATGGCAACGCGACTGCCTTCCAATCAACCGTCAACTTAGTTCCTGCTCAAGCCACTAGTGCTCCTGGCGGAAACGTCGGCATTTTGACAGTCTCATCCTATCTCTAGAAATTCTAGACGAGGTCTTCCCCGCCCGTCGGCTCTCCAACCTCCAATCACACTAGTTGCAGGCGCGGATAAATCAGTCAGAGGTCGCGTGCGCGCTATACTTTATTGGGATATTCAAGCAGACACGGACTTTAGTTAGTTACCAGTTGATGCAAGTCGGTCGTACTATGGACAGCGATCTCGTGGTAAGGCTCTATCATGCCTTGCAGGTCCAAAAGTAACCCCATGGAAAACATGCTCGACGCGATTTTCAAGAGATACCACCTTCTGCAGCCTTCCTGAGTCATGATTATTTTATGGCAGTGTTGCAAGCATATTCGAATGTGATCATCTGGTTTTATATACTCGCCATATACTAGTTTCTTTGGGTGGAATCTTCAACCAGTGAGATACAGCTGCTCGGGGTATTTGGGTATCTTTCTTACTACTTCTTAATTATTCAACACAGCTGTATACTGCTGCTTTTTCATGCTCTAATCGTCGGAGAGACTTTGCATTGCTAGTGGCTGTAAAATCTCGTCACATACCCAGAGCCAATATACATCTAGAGCGTATTGCCTCACCCGAGAGTCCAAGTCACGTAGCTATAAAATACCATATGTCGATCGTGTATCGGCACGGACGGAGCTGATCGGGCCAACGACATGCTATGAGGTGCATTTTAGCTTACATCCTGGTTTATGGAGTAGAGAAAAGAAAATGAGATGGCGGAAAGGTGCATTCGGATTAGCAAATAAAGAGGGGGAAGGGTGACATACTACTCGATTTCCAATTCGATATGCAATATAGACATACCAGTCGTGACCGACAACCGTCCAATACCCAATAGTCGGCAACAACCAATCAGCCTGATCTAACGGCCCTTTGGCTAACTCGCCTAATCGCCGCATTTTCTCTAAATTCCCACTGAGCCAGATGGCAAGCTGGGCAAGCGCTTCCTTTTTCCCGCCGTCGTCAGGCTTCACTTCTACACCAGAGAACAGTATAGTCCGCTTGTTAAAAGCATCCGTGGTCTGGCTAATCGCGTAACCGTGACCGCCTAGACTGACTCTCTCATAGAGACTGGGGACTTCCGGGTCCCGACAGGAGAACGACAAAGCATAGTCTGCCTTTTTGTTGATCCGCGTAAGATTGTTCCTTACGATAGGTAGAAGGGCTCCATCGATTTATTGGGATTGTCTGTAATCGGGTAAGCAGTTACCTCCAATGGAGAAATGGTATACATACACACTCGTCAGTTGTAGTTTAGAGGACCCTTCTGTGGGCTTGCGAAGAATCGGCTGCACGACGTCTAAGCACCAAGCATTCTCATCTTTGCCGTATCTATCACAATGTCTTGCTTCTAATCGTATTTCTTCGAACTCATTCCACAATACGTCAAGGGCCGCATCTGACATATGTCCAGAGTCAAAATATGCGGACTCCGGTATTTCTTCAGCATCGTCAGGATCGGATTCACGGATCCGGGACTACGATTCAATCAGTCGATCAAGCTATACATAAGGAATCTGGTGACAGCACCTCTAGGCCTTTAGGAATTATGCCCTGTCCAAACCGATCTGCGAGGCGTTTTCGTGGAGATGATACAGTGCCCGGTATAGGGCCAGTTGCTTGGGGTTCACATATAATAGCAGGCTTTGCAAGTCGGAGTTGGTTAAAGACATCTCGGGTTGGGCTACCCTGGCGCGACGCAATGAACATACTTGAACGTGGTTCAGTACATTCAGAAAGCGATATCAGCGATGGAGATAACGACACCCTCCGCTTAGAGTTGTCATTATCGGTACGCCGTCGTTTGGTGGGATAGGATCGGCGCGGGGCGGACGTGGATATTGTTGTCTCCCTTGTGTCTGCTTGAGCGGCCATATCGACCAATGATGTATTGTCTGAGGACAGAATAGGCCCGGTAGCAGGCAGTTGCTCAAGCCAGCGCTCAACATCCATTTCCAGGTCGATATATACATCAACGTCTCAAAATGAAAAAGGGGTATTACAGTCATAGGCTCGATGTTGGGCAGCCATAGAAGCCGAATGTTTGCTATGTTTGCATTGCCAGGGAAGGGGCATTGTTTTACCCATGGCCAACAGCTCACCATATTTCCGACACAGATGGCAAGCTTTTACAGTCCTTGTTGGATCCGTAGGGTACATAACAGTGTTACTATGTATTCTCTTCGTTGTAATTAGTCATGGTGGTTAGGGCACATCGGATCGTACGGAACACCAGGCGGGATATACGGGCCGTGTTTAGCACCCGCTCTTGGCATACAGCCAGAACCACTACCTTGGCACGGAGAACTACTCCCGATCGTCCGGTGTCATACCGGTATAAAGTGTAAAACATGGTATAGGTCTAGATTGTATTTATCTCGGTACGAATAGCAGTACTTCATGCTATCGCTAGAGCTGAAAGTCACCTCGTAGTTTCCACCCATCTTGAGCACGGCCCATCCAGTGGTTGATCTGTAGTGCTCAAAACCCGACTACGTGGATTCTATTCTAGAAGTTGAGTGTACGCTCAGATACTAAAGAAATTTATAAATCCAGATTCACAGTCTAGCTTGCCCAGACACTTCACAACAACTGAAAACAAAAGATATATGGCATAGCTGTTGTTGACGTCATGAAACCTGATACTAATGCTGTCACCGACGTTTTCGGCCAGTCTATTTTTTAACTTTATGCCAACCAGCCCACAGACGTTTGTGACAGCACACTGCGAACCTATGAAAACACAATGATCTGGACAATCAAAGCCATCTTATTGCCGGGAACTTTAACCGCAAACTTGTTGTTGCTCACTGGTTAAACTTGGAGAAGTGGACTGAGATAGGTTACATTGAAAGATAACCTTAAAAGAATGCATTACTCGCACATGTTGTGGAGTCACTCAAGTACTACCACCAAATAAACTATGTCTTACAACTACTCACAGGGCAGTCGAATTATAGTCGATGCCAGAGGCATAAGGGTGTTACCCAAACCGTCTACCATCTATCATGAACGTCATAATGTCGACGAGTACAAAACGATCAACTCGGACCGAACGAGGGTCTAGAATCTACTAGATTACAGATAAATAGAGCCCCATTATCCCTTGGAATTGCACCATTCTCCAGATCCATCGCGTCAACTGAAACAACAACAAATCAGATCCCTTTACCACTCGAGTCACATCAAATCGACCCCCCAAAATGAAGTTCTCCACCATCCTTGCCGCAACTACCGCTCTCCTGACCGGTGCCAATGCCGCATTACCGCGTCTTGTAGAGGTCCATAGCCACGAGATTTGCTGGAGGGTCTGCTTTCCGGAGAAGCCACATTGTCCCGATGGATGGGTAAGCACAGCGGCATCTTATCCATTTCAGGAAACAGCGCTAACTCTGGGCTACAGCATGACAAGAAATTCGGCGTGAGTAGTATCCTTAACCAATGCTTATCTCTAGTACGTTTTTTAACATGACATACAAGGAGTGTCATACTTGCTGCAAGGGCGACGATGATGAAGATGACGCGGTGGCCAGCAAGCTTAATATGTTTTGGCAGGCATAAACTAGTGTGCTGTTTCGGTCTCACTGGCCTAGTGAAGCTTAGGAGGTGAGCTTAGAGGTGGCCTTGTTGTTTAGTTAATACTGGAAGAAACCATAGGTGGAAGTAATTGTTAAAAAATAATGAAATATGTACGCTCTTGAAAAGTTCTTGTAGATTGATCGCATGGGTTTCAATAATCATAGAGCTAGTGCTCTTGTGAATTTCCAGGTCTATATGGAATGAGCCCACGAAACGTGTAATCGGTCCTCAATATGTGCGTGGCCAACTGCGATAATTCAAACCGGAAAACTAATTAACTCAGGCCGACCAAGCTGTCGGCCGCGGGCTTCGCCATTCTCAGTGTCACCAGCTTGCTGCTCTTCTTCATTGGGCGGAAAGATCACCTCAGGTGGCGAGATATCCATCTCGGTAACCCAAGCCACTGGAATCGAACTCAGAAACGCGAACCCCGCCAGCAACCACCAGGGAAGAATCATGTAGCCCCGTTTCACACCAAACGAGAATACAGGCCCCAGGACTCCCGGTCCAAGACCTTGTCCAAAGGCGTTAATGCTGGTGCCTATTCCATTCACGGTTGCTAACATGCCAATGGCTCCCGCTACCTCGCTGATCAGAATCGTGCAGCAGGGAAAAACAAAGGCGGACCCGGCCATCTTGACAATCAGCAGTGCACACACTGCGCCACTGGCCAGGGGCTGCGGGAGAAGAGGTACAAATGGAACCACCAGGTAAAGCATGGGAAAAACCGTGGAAGCCAGCCTCAGACATTGAAGGATCCCGTACTTCCTGGCCACCCATGGGAATATCACGAGCTGGACTATCATGCTGGATATGCCGACGATTGAATAGAAAAGACCCATCTCACTGGTATCTACACAAGATGAAAGCATCATTCGTCAGAATGGTAAGGCATACCTAGTTTCAAAGGTGCTTAGCTTACCTACCTCGAGTCCACTGCTGAATTTAAATGGAAGGTGCACGTCTGGGTTTCCCTTTAGATGTTGTACAGGATAGTGCAGTAGTACCGGGAACAATGAGTCGAAAGCCACGGTGTGCATGCTCATCGCACCGGATATCAGCAATAGGAGAATAGGCTGCGGAGACACAATGCTCAACCAACGGCGCTTGAGGTCAGCTGCTCTGCGCTCTAAGGCCTCTTCTATGCGCTGCAACTCCTCATCCACTTCTTCTATTGTGTCACCAAGTAGAGCTGTTGTCTCATCAACGCCAACTGGTTGGACAGGGGCCTGTCTGTTACGCAGCGCCCACACTTTCCTCAGGACCTTCGTAATCAGCAATTCAGAATCAGAAGAATCCTTCAGTCCCGGTTTCGTTTCCTATAGAATCTGTTAGAGCAATCGGAGCTTCTCAGAGGAAAGGTAAATCACACATGAAGGGAAGCAGATGCCATAGTAATAGCGACGGCTACAATGCAGCTAGAAGCTATACTAGACAAGGCAAAGGGAAACATCTTCAAGAGTGCAACATTGCCGAAGATGCCAGAATAATGCTCCGCGGGATGAGCCAACAATCCTCCTAGGGCGGGACCAAACCCTGACCCGATTGTCTCCACGGTAGGTAGGATGCTGAATGCGTACGGTTGGAGTAGCTTCTCAGGGACCATCTCTGCGATCATGGTGCGCATAATACCGATGCTACCACTCACAAGACCGAGCAAAGCCCGGAACAGTACCAGTAAGGCGAGTTGTTGTGAGAAGCCAAACAGTAGGATGAAAACCAGCATGAGATTCAGTTCAAGAAGGATAACACGTTTCCGACCGATGGAATCAGAGGCCATACCCCATACCATGCCCATTACGCCCGCACAGGTAGCGGTCACCGTAGTGCTGAAGCCAACCCACTTGGGCACATCGTCCTTTGGTACGCCGGCATGTTCGAGCATGTCGGGCTGCGCGAGAAGTTATCAATTTAAGCTCTATAAAGTGTGGGGAAGTTGATAAGAGACATATAAGCAGGGCTGCTATACCATATACGGGACGATGGAGGAAAGTACGACTGTTGATAACACGTCAGTTGAGCTCGCCGCATTTTTAGTCACGTATCCAGAGAAAGATTAAATGTGGCATTTCATACCCGCCTCAGCAAAGTGGCATATCGCTAGTGAAACTGATTAGTTATTGAACATGGTCGCTATCTTTCTCAACACTCACCCAACAGAGCGAGCTGCCGAAAAGGCAGCACTGGCAGCCTCGAGAGCATTGGCTCTACTGTCGAGCGAATCCACATATTGACAGCATTCACAGGATATGTGCAACGTTAAAGTGAACCAGTCTATGTCACAAACTCGAATAGAGAAATTTGTCCGCCTTATAGTCGAACACGAACTTGTTCTTTTGCACACTGTTACGCGACCAGAGCCTTTTATGAGTCGTCTACAGCTGGGCTGAGCTGAAATCTCTATGATCTAGACCTAAAAGGGAAAAAAAGAAAAAAGAAAAAATAGGCAAACAAGGGAGACAGATCTCCAGCTGAGATTTCAGTGTACTAAATCTCTTAAAACATGCAAGGGGTGTTCGTGCCCATTGCCGATCTGTGCTTTGTGGCGCGCTGGGATCCACTTTGGATCAGTCTTAAGTCTTGGATGTGATGGGTAACACTGCCATTGACGCCATTCCTTTTAGCTGATAATATGTGCCGATTGAATCTCAAGCCACTGTGGCCTATCATGCATTGTTCGTGGGACGCTGAGACTCTGCATAAGTGCCCGAAACAGACATGCCGTATAGACATACCAGTCTGCCAGAAAGTGGAGCCAACTATCGAAAATTAGAGTTTCGATTCAGCTGGCCAGGTACGTACATATCATTACCTTGTAGCTCAGTATCCAGTATAAGACGAATGGCTTTGTCGTCCTCCTTCTCGAGCATAGCTAGATAAGCTAATCCTCGTACGTGCAGCAATTCACTTCCCGATTGTGAATAACTGAAATGGGTTTTCCACCAACCTCGGACATATCCACAACCTCGACCAACCCGCCAGATAAGCACGGATCCACTGTATTGTATGGTCATCAGTTTGAACAACGTCGCTTAGTTTGTGGCATCGGGTAGAGTATGGCTTTTGCGCAGCGTCCTTAGCAGCCAAACCTTTCGCATCTGTCACAGAAAGTGATCGTCCGGCGTGGTATATCCATTACCCAACGAGAAACAACTGGCTACGGATAATCTCGCCTGATTGTATGCTGCAGAGTGTCCTGGTAAACATTACTCCTTTCATGAAGGACATGTTGCAATCAGTGGCGAATCTGTTCAATGTATTAACCGTCGGCATGCTTACTTTTAATCAAGGCCACAATATGATGTGCCCATTGGAAGATCACACTACCCTGTGCAGTGTTGCATATTGTGCGCCTGCTCAGTCCAGCTCGTCGCCAAATATCGTATTATTTTTTGTATTACTGAGCTGACAAGATAATAGAATCTTTCTCCTCGCCAATCCTATTCATGTCCGCTACCCCTGAAAAGAATAACACATTTTACGACATTCGTCTCTTACCAGAGGGTGTTCAACCTCGTCCTGCCGGAGCCGATTCAATGACGAGCGAAGCATTGCGAGTGCCGACCTTTGAATAAGAACACCAGCTTGATACCCTGCTGCTCTTCCGTTGGTGTTTATTGTATGAAGCGTCACGGACAAGCATTGAGTCCCCATGATACCTCATACCAAATTGAAGTGACTTGGTGAAAGGGGGTCACTTTACAAATAATCAAGTGATCTCGAGAAGGACTTGTTCCATACCTTCATGTGGGTACGATCAGGGAAAGCTGACTGGTACTCCATCCAGCGTAGCATAGGACACTAATACAGTAGCGTGTACCGCGCAAGGTGGTGAAAGTCTTCTACCGCCGATATACCTGATTCAAGAACTGAATGACGCCAACTATCTTCGATAGTACATGGTTGCTGAATTGGCCCACGGTTTCGTTCAATCATCTAGAGTATGATTTGAATCTCGACAGGAGAGACATATAGCGTATGCCCAAAATTATATCTGATGTTATTATATCATTGTATCTCCCACGGGCGGTTTGCTGAAACTCCGCGGGTCGATCTCCCCGCGGACCTAGGCTTCTCAATCCCCCGATACCCATGGGGAAGCCCCCGCATAATTAGATATGTATAAGATGCTATTGATCGGTATTATCTTGCAAATCAACAAATATTATGTTATATTGATCACACTTCCAACCCAATATTTGGACAGAAGTGGCAAACACGCTAAAGCAATATGTCAGGGTAAGTTTTTCCCACCATGCTTGCTTCTGTGACAGCCAACTCAAGTGGAAGAACTCACGATCTATGGAAGACCTGAGGAACAGTTCATTGAGCTCACCAAGGCCACCGGCCATGTGCCAGAATCAACGGTTGAGAAAGTGTACAACCAGCTGAAGCCGGTCGCTCCGTCCTTTCTGATAGGCAAGTGGGACGGCGGGGATATCGATACAGGACATATTGGACATAAGCTTCTGAAGGAAATGAAGTGGGCTGGAAAAGAGTTCCGATCAGTAGATGACGGTGATCCGATCATGATTTATGATGCAGAAGGCAATCGGGTGTGGAAGAAAGACTGGGGACATTGCTCGGTACGCATGTTTTTAACTGGGATCGCTCAAAACCATGCTGACATCACGTTATCTCTGGATAGCTAAGGGAGATGGTCTATCGAGGAGTAACATCGACCACCATGATCTATGACGAAAAGCCAATCTTTGACCACTTTCGTTATGTGTCCGACGATATGGTTGCGGGTGCCATGGATACACCCAAGCTGTTTGGCACCCAGGGCACTTACTATTTCTATTTGACTCGCCGCACTCGATCCTCGCTTTGACGTATCCATGTGTAACATACACCTGATTTCAATGGATTGGCTTCTACTTTGTTGTAGAGTAGCTTAACACAGGGTTGTAGCTCGGCTTTCAGCTAACAATAGGAGAGGTGCAATTGCTTTTCTCCTGCTTGGAATTAGACTTTTTTGCAGGGTGATGATCGTCAATAAGATGGTCTTCCATTTTTCCGTGTGGGTGAAGAGTTCGACACGGACGACAGTTGATTAGCAAAAAATATACGAAGAACTTCATTCAGGTTTTGATTGCTATCTTTTAGAGATAAAGTACAATGGTCCTTCTAAAAACGTATGATGTGAAAGTATTGACTTTACTTTTCTTTTGGTGGCACTCAATCTAACGAAAAGAAACTTGGTGATAAGTCTATAAAATTCTGGTTTTGGATTGGAACGCCGTGGTTCCTCGGAAATGCAGTAGCGGGCCGTGCAACTACATGCTTTGTTTACTCAATAAAAGTGCATGGAATGGTGGTGCATTGGTCTCTCGGGAAAATAACAAAGTTATTGGGGCACAAATGGAGATCTTTTTGTATTGGTGGGTCCACAGCGGTGATAAAAAAAAATCGCAAAAATATTAGGTCGTGCCCGGGATCGAACCGGGATTACAGGAATCAGAATCCTGGGTGCTAACCATTACACTACACAACCACTTGTTGTTGCAAGTCGGTCTAAATTTAAAAACAGAAACTTAATTTTAATAAAATACATGGGTCACCGCACCGTCGGGGTAGAGCAAGCAGAGTACATACACATACTCAAAGCTAATTCCCAGCCTGGAATAGCAGAGCAATTATTGATGTGAAGTATTGTATTAAATTAGCGGCAGAGTAATTTTATTTGTCTGTAGTCGCTCTTTCAGGTAGAGGTTTTCTCTTTGCCGTTTCTTTACGGATATATATATCATGTGCGAGTGAGTGGAGTGATTGCTTGATATCGCTCGACTAGACTATTAGACCATTATCATGGATAGGTAGACGAGGGCATCTCAAAGCTCAGTAAAGGGCTTTTAAGGTAAGAGGATTTTCTCTCTCTTTTCATAAAAAAGAACAAGAAAAGTAATGTGCAGTGAGCCGGAGGCGCTGCAAAATGGATAATGGCTGGATCGTCTCCCATCATCCAGGATGGTCCACCATTCCTAACTAAACGATACTGCCGTAGGGATTCTCGCTATACATGTAGATAGCCACTTGTTGTAGTCTACAACTACTGATGAGAATCCTGGATATCGCCCCAGCATCTTATGTGGAAAACAAATGTCTGAGGATATTACCTGATTCAAGAAGAAATTAATTCGAAGCCCGGGCTTGACGCCAGAAGAATGAAGTCCAACGCAGTAGCAGCAAAGTAAAACCCAATAAGACAGAATATGGATATAAAAGGTAGAACAAAGACCCAAAATATGGTCAATCACCGAATCAGAGGTCTGAAGAGGAGGAAGTGAGAACGGGAGAACCTTCATCCTCAAGACTACCCCTATGGTGAGTCAGTCGAACATGATCTTTCATGTTGTCCTTCCAGTTGAATGCCCTTCTGTAGCTCTTCTTCTTGACACTCATCTTGATCAGGAAGACATGCTTGGGCCGAATATGTCTCATCAACTTTGCCTCGCTACATAAAAGAACATGGATATAAATATGGAGGGAAAGAGGAGGAGCCACGAGCGCAGACAGCATGGTTTACCTACATGGGATAGCTAATATGGTGGGCGGATTTACATAGTGATTTAACTTCATTTCATTCATTGTATCTTTTCCTTATGTATTGGGCTTGCGACTTATTATATCGTTTCGGAGTTAGACATGTCTCACCAGTTATGTGGCAGGAGAGCAAACAACCAAAAATTCGGTTCCAACAGTTTGATAAAGATAATATTGACTACTCACTTTGTTGGTTGCCTGGGTCGTTGCAACAACTTGTCAATCAATGAGCATCCATTGCGTCAGTATATAAAAGATAGAACACTCACGGCACCCAGACGGCACAAGACCAGAACGAGTTGGATATCAACCAATGGCTGGGTTTCCTCTGTCAACGTGTACCATAAATCGGAAATAATATCCCTACAGTGATAGCTCAGCTTGAACCATAGAAAAGAATGGGCTGTGATGCAGCGGGGAACAACCACTAATTTCTCTACATAACAGATGGTTGTTGCTATCACCCCTAAGCCTTGCATTTAGTGCGACAGGGATGCTATTCCCTCTCAACCATGAGATCTCACTTTAGTTATCATGAACAACCCCAGTAACATTCCCCGCGCTCTGCCAGAAATCAGGGCTCGCACCGTCCCCGTGACATGGAATTCTGTAATTGTGTCTTCTTCTTTCTGGCTCGACTACCGCCGGCTCACCCCATATATCCCCTCGCCACATGGCTCGGTGTATCCTCGGTCTATATCCGACGGGATGTCTCGCAGCTAGCGCATGCTTGGAAAGTTTAGGTCCCTCTTTTGTAAGGATTCAGCAGCTAGGTACTGGGCCCAGACTCGAATATTGAAGCTAAAATCTCCTTCCACAACTCTAATCAACTCCAAGAAGGAAAGTGAAAACGAGGCGATCGGATGCCGAAAGTGAAAGAACCCAGAACAAGGGCAATGATTGTCGGAAAGCTTTCGCGTACGTGAACGATGCACTTAAAGTCCAGGATCTGCTGCTGTAGCCCGGTGAAAACTTCTGGAGCTGAAGTCCGGCTCGCTCAGTTACTCCATCGAATCAACTATAGTTTTCCATTAGAAATTACTCCGGAGTAGAGAACGACGGGTACCTGCTTGTAACTTGTAGATAGGGATCATTTTTTGGCCCCTGAGGGATGCTCTCCCTAGTTGAGCTTGCTGATCCTTCCACTCCACCAGATGTCGTCATGCCGTGCTGTGAAAAGAACGTTGGTGGGACGAAAAGGGCCACTGTGGCTTCTGCCCCGCTTCCTACTGCGGTAGTGATATGAGGCTATCGAACATGATATTGTTTAAATATTATAACCCTGCCAAGAAGTGTCTCGTTGTCTATTCCTAAATCATGTCAAGAAGCATAAGCAGTTGGGGCTAGCAGAATTTTTGTCAATTAATGATCCGCAAACCCACTCACGATCGTTTCAAGTTTTACCACAGCACTAGCAAGACCTACTTCTTGTTTTTGTTGTACCAACCAGCCAAGACAGAACCAAAGCCTTCAAACAGATCCAAGCAGAAGTTACAAAGGCCGTAGACTCAACTTTCGAGAATTAATGCCGAATTTCCGACTGTCGACTGTAGCCAGGCCGTCTCACGTGACATATACTATATCCCGTAAAGATCAGCAACTCCCTCAACTTTCAAGATTCAAGAACCTCAACCTCAGGGTGAGACAGGGAGCAATAATTAAAATCAAAGCTCCTCTTTTTATTTACCGGCTATTAGCTCCACTGACTTGAGCCGTCTCACGTACCCACTTCATCACTCATCACACCGCTCAGCTAGCCACTGTTTACTCTGGCGCAAAACTTCTAGCCCTAATGCAAAGAGACGAGAGGAATGTGCGTTCATGCATCGTTTCTGTGTACTGAGATGTACGGAAGGACTCTATCTCCTCTTCCACGGTCCGTACCTTACAGGATAACATCCACGTGCTGCTGGGTGCCCCGTGTTCCTTGCGGAGCATGCGCCTATTTTACCCCTTCTGCTTCTCCCGATCGGCTTTGGTTTTAGTGGGTAGATTAATCTATGATAATTCTTGTACCGAAGCTAAGAGATCAAGAGTTCGGCATTGCCGAAAATACAATTGCCAAAGTACGCGTTGTGAGAGTGCGAAACGTAAAAATCGAATGAGTTGGAGTGTAGCCGAGATTAGTGAGGATATCCTCCACCAAGAGACCAAAGATCGAAAAGCAAAAGGCTAGGAATTGGGACGACCCAAGAGAAGAAGCATTAGCGAACAAAAAAAAAAGGTCGCAAATTGCGATGCTACAAAGATTCATCAAACTGACTAAGTTGAAAACCTTAAGCAGGGTTCATACTGGCCCAGGCGGCAGATTGCACCAGCTCGGCTAGGATGTACAGTGTACTCCTGCCCTCCTAGGCAGGTGTAAAGCATTATCCACTGTATGATTCGTGCCGGAGGACATCGTGCAAGCGTGCTAGATCGGTTTAGTTCACGTGGAAATCGGTCTGATGTTGCGACCCAGACCGCAAATTAGCGTTTTTAGTCGGGTCCACCGTCGGTCACCGGTATCGCCGATTGATCCCGTCGCAAATCCTGCCCAACATGGTTCAGAAACACCAGATGGTGCCAGCCATATTCGCCTTTATGGCCAAATTGGTTATCTGATGATCTTATTACCAGCCTGCGAGAATCCCCCTCATCCTACGTCTCCACTGCAGAAACTCGTTTTTGAGCTTTGTTTAGGTGATAGAACGTGATAAATGGACAAGAGGGTTTTAGCGTGGGATGTGGGCCATGAATTCCAAATCACCGATCGTTAGTTCGGATGGGTCGCCATTCAATTCCAAGAAATCTTCCCAATAGTGGGTCGCTGTGACTTCCAGTCTAGGCTAGGGCGCCTCCAATGAGATGGCCCTATAGAGTCACTATGGATGCACGTCCTGGAACCGATCTGCAAGTGATATCTCCCATCTAAGATTCTGCAAAACCCATTAAGTTGCCCACGAGCCCAACTGTTGCCTTGCAGGCGCATTGACTTACTCGTTTCTTCATGGCTTCGATATCCTCACGAACCTGTCAACCTTGACTGGCGATCGCTGACAAGCGCTACCCAACTACACCACGCTCCTTTAGCCATTCTTTCAGCGAAACACCGTCACCATGGGGTCAGAACTCGGAATCACCCCAGAGTCTAAGCCGCAGGCCGCATACACCCCGGTCAGCATCTGGTGGGCATGCTGGGCCGGCGTGTGGACCACCGCCGTGGTGCTGGGTATGATCTATCTCATCGCCAACCGCAATATGCCGATTCTCCGAATACGCGGCCTGGGTCTCTCGTTATCAGCAATAGTACTTCTTCATTTGTATTGGGCATCTGTCCAATTCGGGGTTATGATCGGTGCCATCATGCCGGGAGACGCCCAGTACTGGATTATGGGTACCTATTTGCCCTGCGGAATCGCCCTCTTCCACGCTTCCAACAGCCGTTTTCTCCACGTCGCAAAGCATCAGCGGAAATATGCCCATCATGATAGCCGTCTCCCCGAATCCCTTCCCGATGAGAAGCCCAAAACCGGTTTGTTTGGCCGCTTCCGCCGACTGGAGTATACCAAAAGGATCATCATTCTGGTTGGTATCGCAATGGTCGTTCAGATTTTCCTCACTATTCTCATGTGGGTGATTTCTCGCAAGTGGCACAGCTCTTGGGGAATCCCCGGCACTGAGGTTACGGGTACTCCAATGGAGCAGGCGACGGAACAGGGCCGAGGCTGGGAATGGTAAGAATACCGTGGATGCCGATGCGAAGCGGTCGCTATTATAGTGGATACTAACTTAGATCAGGTGGCCTGGCGTGTTTTGGCAGTTCTTTTGGGCCTGGCTTGTTGCCCCCATCGTTCTCTGGAAATCTCGGCATATCCATGATACCCAAGGCTGGCGAGTTCAGACCATTGGCTGCGCTATCGCCAAGTGAGTATACAAAGTGAAGAAGAGAGGATTCCATTATTAACATCTTACGCAGCCTCCACGCTACACCGATGTGGCTCATCGCTCTCTACGTTCCGGGCATGGAAGTGGTCAACCAGTATTGGATTCCTCCGCAGTGGTAAGTGTTTCAACGTCTATGTTTGCAGAACGCGACTTTCCTGACCCGGTATAGGATTTGCTTATCCATTTGGATCATGGAAATATTCACCGTCTTTCTTCCCTGCTGGGAAGTAATGCGCCACCACGCTCTCCGCCAAGAGACGTTCAACGCGATCGAGCAGTGGGAATCAAAAATGAAGTCGTCTGGCTCAGAAGCCAGGTCCCTCAGCTCCATCCCTACCATGGTCGAATCCATGATGTCTGGCTGGAAATCTACCAACGGCTCCGTCGATACAACCAGTTCTCGCGACAGTATCCTAACCATGGGTGCCCTGGAACACGTCCTGGAACGCAATCCCGCCCCTCTTCAGAAGTTCTCCGCCCTCAACGACTTTTCCGGCGAGAATGTCGCCTTCCTCACCAGCGTTGCCGAATGGAAGAACTCGCTACCCAAGGCACTCCGAGAGAGCACCACCCCCATAGACGACAACCTGAAGGAATTACTACACGAACGTTTCAACCGCGCATTACACATTTATATCAAGTTCATTAGCGTCGGCCACGCCGAGTTCCCCGTAAACATCTCCTCCCAAGATCTCCGAAAACTCGAAAACATCTTCGAAGGGCCTTCTCGTGCCCTGTATGGCGAGAAGCGCGCTGCCGTCGATCCTGTCACTCCTTTTGATACCCCCAGTTTCCCCCTGAAATCTCTTTCCTCACCCAGCTTCGGAAACGGCTCCCAGGTTGCGCTCCACCCAGTGTCATCAGATGACCGCGTGCAATTCTGGGGTGAAGTTCCGGAGGCTTTCGGGCCAACTGTCTTTAACGACGCCGAGAAGAGTATCAAGTATCTCGTTCTCACCAATACGTGGCCCAAGTTTGTCAAGAGCTGCAGAAACTCTACTGATTCTATCAAGGGAGAGGCTGTCTGATCAGCTTCTGGGCCGCGTGCGACGAGATCCACTCTGTCGAGGCCTGTATATAATAATATGCTAATGTGCTTGGATACACAGTGTATATATGCAAACGGTGTCTTTCTTATGTTCTAATACCTTGCCCTGTTTATGACGGTTTTGATTGTACATGTATGAGCTCTGATTTTATGTTGGATTTTGCTTGGATACCAGTTTGTTATAGGGCTTCCTAGACTCGGAGGGTTTGTCTTATCACCTGTTCATTTTGTTGATGTGCAGTGTGCACTTTTCCTTTCTTTCTTTCTTTGACTCCCCCTTTTGTATCTCTCTTTCTCTTCTGTCTGGTCTTCGAATATACGGACAATGGTGCGGATATATCGTGTTATTATGAGTCTATTCAATATTTAGACCAGTGAATCTAATTTTCACCTTGAGAGCCAAGTCATGCATGTGCTGACATTGGTTTCAGCTAAATCAACAAGTGTCCCAACCTACAGTATAATTCTAAAAAATAATCCCAACTCCCCAACCTAGAACCAAGAGCTGAAAATAAAAATAACAACAAAAGAACCCGAATTCACAAAGCAAACAGATATCATTAATAAAACCATGATGATACACGAAACAGCCCAATCACATATAAACCACCCCATCACTCGGCATCCCAACCTCCCCACCAGAGAAAGCACAGCGTCCAACCTCCACCCCATCCGCCGTGCCCTCATACACAACCCCCCATTGCAGAGGCATAGCTCCATGCCATCTCCCTCTACAGGAGACCCAGGATAGCATGCCGCAGCAATAGCCCGACTACAACTCCCAGCCACGGGCATGCCGGACGCAAACCGGCGAAAGCCCAACCCTACCAGACCCAGCAGCATGACTCCCCCGACAACAATCGCACTGACGATCGCAACGGGGGAGTATCCGCACGTGGCGAAATCGAATGAGCGGAAGCGCTCCAGCTGCATGTTATACGTCTCCACATTGACGAGAAACAGGCTCTGGGATATGAGCCAGTGCAGCACGGTGGAGAAAACCAGCAGCGGGATGGCGTAGGTGTAGGGCAGCGAAAGAAAGTATGTGGTGCGCTGGGAGCTGCGGGGTCGAGGAGACGCGGAGGCCCTTGCGGTGGAGTGCGTAGTTGCTCCATTCTGCGGCGAGGGTCATGGCCGTGAGGACGCTGTTGGAGACGAAGTAGAGCATGGAGAAGACGACTTGGGGTGTGTTTGCGATGATGGTGTTGGTAATCAGCGACGGCGGCCAGGTGTTTCCGCTGATGAGGGTGTCTGTGTTTGTGATGCCGAGTCCAGACCAGATCTGGCCTTTGTTGCCGAGTTGGCTGAGCCCGAAACATAGCAGCCCGATGCAGATCGCGATGGCGATGGTGTAGCTAATAGTGGGTTCTGCTTAGTGGGGGGTGGCTTACTAGGGTTGCATTTTTAGGGTATATGTGCGTACCATATTATGCAGATGATCCATCGGACTATTGAGACTGCGGCGCCATCTTTGGGGTGTGGCTTTGTAAGAGATGGGCCTGGAGGATGGACTATTGGCTAGTGTCTTGGACGTGAGACAATGGTCTCTTTTTCTTGTCTCAGGGGTCTTTAGAAATGAAGCTACCGCGTCGCCGGTTGTGAGAAGGGGCAAGTCGGTCATGGTGAGAGCCACGGCGCAAATGATGATTGCTTTGACAATATTGAAAACGATAACAATAATAGCCAAAGGCAGACTGTACTCCAGTTTGCATTTCCCCGGAATCCTTTCTGCTAAGCAAGATTTCACGCGGTAGCCACCGACTATCCAGTTGTCGACATGCGCACGGATCTCAGGAAGCTGGTCGCGGCATATTGTCTGCATATCACAGGCATACACGGTGTGGTTGCAACACATCCAAGCGTATGGATTGTTTCCTCTCATGGGGGTAGAGGGTCCCTGGTACGAGAGAAAGTCGAAGTCGGTGTCGTTTGGGTGAAAGTCGTCGGTGAGTAAAAGTACGCTGCCGTATTCATTTTGGAAATTCGTGGCGTAAGCGGACATGCAGTCGGCATTTTTCAGGGGGTAGAGCTCGCCGTGCTGTCCCTTCTCGAGCATTCTTGCGAATGAGAAGTAGGGGTTCATATACCTGACGGTATCCGTTTCTATATCATCGTGAGGTGGCCGGACGGTGTTCGCATTGAAATCGGAGAACGGCTTGTTTCCTGCAAAGATTTCGTACTCGACGTTTGTGATTGTCGAGAAGATGGTCGAGTTGTAGCTGTTATACAGGTTATTATTTGCCGATAAAATGTATGACTTGGAGGTAGAGTAACAAATGCCAACCTACAATAGGTGAAGCGGTAGAGATGATAGCGCTAGAATTAGCCAGAGAATGAGTTTCACCTTTGAGATCCGAAATAAGTTCCGCACGCTAGGTACTCCAATATCCAGCCATTGATTCTTCAGATGTGCGCGATCAATCTCCGTGCGTGTAGGGGCGCACAGGCATTGCTGTCTAGAGTCAGGACTGAAGCACCATGCCTGCAGGTAAAAGCAACTTCTCTCTACCATAGTATAGGAACTCGCACAAAGCAGAGCAGTGCTTAGAATGTTGATGACCAAGTGAATACCGGTACTCATTCTCTTGGTCTTGGTACAGTCGCCGGTGTAGAGCACTCCGCGGTTTTCTGTGAGATCATGATGTGACACGGCCCAGGCGACAAAGGAAACATTGAATAATAGTACTATAGCACTCGCTAGCGATCCTAGATATAGCGACCGTTTCCAGTTTTCTGTTTTGCGTTTCTTGTTGTGTTTTCGCGTCGATTCAACTGCCTCCAGGTCGCTGATGTCTTTCCCGGCTTCGCTCGACGAGTCTGGCCCCAATGGTTCCTCATCCCTTGGAATTGAAAGCAGTTCGACCGTCTCCGCCCGGTCGAATCGTTTTTGAATCATGGCCTGTGATTGAGAGGGAGACTAAGTAGCATCGGTGGTAGATTCGCCATAACAAAGTCGACGTATAAAAGGAAATTCAGAATCGACATGCGCCTTGTCACCCAAGGCTGACATTTCGCGGGAGTCCAGATTGGTCCCTAAATAGGATCGAGGCAGTGACACTCTTAGCGTGTTTAATTTAAATTAGGTAGCAGAGACTGAAGAGTAAGCACGCTGATCCTTTCCCAGAAGCGAATCGTTCGAATTGATATTGGGGGCCATTCAAAGACATCGCAGCTAACTTAGCCCTCTCATAGGCCAACGGGGACGGGTATGCCTTGATCGACAGGCAAGTCCCTTAACCTACATATACGCGGTGGAAAAAGCAACAGGACGATGAGACAAATGTAAATTATATTTACCTATAAACGAATCGATTCCAGCTTAGACCTCCTTCGCTACACAAAGCTTTCTGCAGTCTATAAGCTTCTGAGCGCATGGCGCGAGCTAGATACTTCTATAATTACATTAGGGCAAACACGAGATAGGTGGATAACAAGGTTGATGGTTCGCAGGCTGCCGAAGTGGTGCCATCACCTCTCAATGTCCGGCTTCGAGCCTGTCCCCAGCCTCTGAGCTGCGTCATTTCTGCTATATACGTCTGTTTCATAGCCTGACTATGTACCGTCGTTGTCCTGTCAGCCTGTTCCCATGCCCTATATATACTCATCACAGTCAACCATCGTTCGCAAAATAAAGGCACACGCTCTTAAGACCTTGGTTGAGGGCAGGTGAGTTGACCATTGACTAATTGAAACACCTCATCTGTAGCATGTTAGCTCAAATCAGCTTAATATTGGTCCAGCACTCACCTTGGTTAAACGAGATCCTAGCCGCCCTTCTCTGTGATCCCCGAGCAACATATTCCAAGGGACGCTGGACGACATTATCGCACCAGCAATCGATACGGTACCTGTCTTGAGAGATCCTGAGGTACTGACAGCCCCAGCAACCGCCACGCGCAAGTCCTTGTCCACTAGTTACAATATTTAGCATCCACAGCATGCAAGGCAGAACAGAGAGAAATATGAATGCGGAGACTACGGGGTTGTACATACTTTGGTAGAGCAATCAATGACTCGCTCACAGTATCCCAACCAAGGTAAGTGTCCAAGCCCACTTCCGTGGGGCGTGCATACCCACCGGCGGCTCTGCAATTGCCGAATAGCCTGATTGGAGGCAGTGCTGGTGGTACGTTCGAGTTTCCGGTTGCTTGATTCAAGTTGCTGGCAGGTGGTACATTGGCCGGCGGTACAGGTTCGCGCTTTATCGGTGAGTTTGGTGGCACCGGTGGCTCACCCGTGCTCGGTTCAAGATTTCCATATCTTGTATCTGGAACTGCGACATTCAATGCAGGCTGAGCGGCTCTGTTGGCTCCACCTCGGTTCGGCTCCGGTGGTTCTGCGTTGATGTTTATCGCCGGCAGTATCTGAACTCCCACGCACTGGTCGTGTATCTGTCGGGTAGATGAAACTGGAATCTGGTATGTATTTTCTCTAGCTCCTGTTCCGCTGCTTCCGGCTTGACTTCCGGGTCCAAGTCCTATACCGACAGCCAAAGCGGAGAGATACAGAGCAATGAGGATTAACGGCCGAAACATCTGTGTGGTGTTGAAAATGAGTGACTGACACGATTGTGGGGGTGGAAGAAGAGTGGTTACTCAGGGCAGGACATCAGGTTATAACGCAAGATGTTATCATTGCCGTGTTACCTGATCGCTTGAGAAGATCCTGTTCCTGCTTTGGTAGGACAAAGGAAGTCTATATTTCCTTAGACCATTTTCAGTTATTGTAGTCGATAAAGACCACTTTTGGCGAGCAGAATATTGAAAGAGCTGGGCAAACGGGGCAACAAAAAATTTTACCGACAACACCAAGACATGCCAGCAAAGAAAGGCCAGTAGACTGCGCTTGACCAAATCAATCTTAACCCATACTGAACTTGATGTCAAAGGTAAAAAAGCCTATTCCTTTGTGCACCACCTCTTCTTACCTTTGGGAGCATGGGGCTCACTATTTATTCTGCTCCCCGTTTGTTAATTCCGGTACACTGAGATTCTCTAGAACCCTACCAAGCTCTTAATACCGATTGCCAGCCTTAAAGATACAATTAGTACCTCACTGGTATGGCCAGAGAGTCGAAAAGGGGGGCTTCGCAAGGGAGCTATCTTATACCACCCGGGTTTCATTCCCAACCATGGAATAAATAATAAGATTCAAAATAAGCAGCAATAGTGTCTAAGTCATGTGTCTCCGACCATGGTACCTAAGCACACTTGTAGCTCTTCCAGTCGCCTACGCTTCCATTGAGAATTCTCGCCTCCTTCGGCCATACACAGAGCTTCCTAGTTGTATTCGACCCGTCAGGAGGCGCAGAGCTCATAATTTCCTCGGGGCCAATCCCAGCCTCCACCCACGGCAACAAAGCATCAAGAACATGGTAAGTGGCTGGTACATGACTGTACCATGGATTGGCCCCACAGTGTCCACCGCCAGGAACCATGAACAATCGGATAAAATCAGAGGCATGTTGCCCTTGGACAGTCGATTGGATCCGTTTCAGGTGCTCGACTGGCCACGTGGCGGCATTATACTGATCTGCCCATCCTTGAACCGTGATTAGCTTGCCTCCTCGCTGACTGAATGCCGATAGATCTGGAGAAATCTCGTCGATGGCGGGTGATGTGGTGTGGTCTAGATAATCAACATCAGAGCCCCAGTTGAACGATGTAACGTTATAGGTCCTGTCCTTGAATACTAGCTGTCGAAGAATCGGAGCCGCATATGAGGAATACAGAGACGTTTCTTGAGGCAGCCAACCGGTTTCTGAGCCTAAGTCAAACCCAGGATAGATCTGCTTCCCCGTGCGTTGGTCCGTCGGGCCGGCATAAATCTGAAGTGCGGAGTGGATCTGTGCTGTAGTCAAGCAGAGAGTTTCATTGTTGACGATGGGGATTTGTCCGGGTTGGCACTCCAGTGTCTTGATATCGAAGTGACACCTCAACGGGTTCTCAACTAAGCCGTCTTTGACACCATCCAGTTCATCGCAGGCAGCCACTGTTCTGTTGGTGATAAAGTTCAAAACCTCTTGGCTCATGAATCCCTTCCCTGTGGCATGCAGCCCATTCCATAGAAAGCTCAGTATCAAATGACTGTACCAATTTCCTGGGCTACCAGCATAGATGCCATCAAATAGGGTAGGGTGGTATTGCGCAAGCGCGTAACCCTGTGCACCGCCAGTTGAACAGCCCCAGAAATAGCTGTACGTCGGCTGCTCAGCATAATACTTGGCAGTGATGGCCCGAGTGACATTGGTGGTCATGGCAATTGAATTGTGGATCCAGGCTTTCACTTTAGCGATATCATCTAAGAATGGTACAGAGTTGTTAGGTCCACTATCGTCACTTGCTGATAATGGATGTCCACTATCACAACCTGCTACAGCAAAGCCGGAATTCAGGTTTGTGAGCATGGTGGTGTTATCAATATCACCTGCGAAACCACCATTCCCTAGGACCTCGGTTAGCGAGTAGCTATTTACCCATAGCTGGTTCACTCTTACCTACGGCAAGGAAACGGCCGTTGTAATGGGGTTGGTCCGGAAGGAATAGTTCCCAGGTAAGGGTGTTATTCCCGCGTGGGTCTGGCGTAGCATCCTCATCAGCCATGTAGCTAATTGTTCCTTGAACATGGCAGAAGGGAAGCTCGTTGTGGACCGAATTTCCTTTGCTAGATAGAATGAGACCTCTTACAGGCACACTCTGTGCGTGATGGATACGTGCCGCGCTATTGACCCAAGTCTTAGCGAGATTTGCACAATCGACTTTCTGTTTCTCATCCAGCGGGATACTTTTGACGACCTCTAAGGTCGCAAGTACGTAGGTTATAAACAGAGCTCTCATTGTAGCAAGCAATGGCATTTAGATTCAGTAACTTGCAAACATGGTTTACCGCACAACGGGTTCTTTAAATTCTGGGGGGCACAAAGATCCCAACATTGGCTTCCCCTCCTGGAACGATCGGCAAACTTCACGAGTCATGATTTACGAGGTAAAATCCACTGGCAGAATATTGTACAAAACACTGCGTTGAACCTTGAGCGGGATCATCGATGGGCTAGGACCGGATCGCCGATATATCGGCCGTCGGCGCCGTCACCGATGATAGTGCCTAGGACGGAAAACACGGAACGTAGTTTATGCTTGAATGACAAAGATGAGCAAGATCAATTACATATAGCCAGTCGGTATAGTTAAACCCGACCGACTGGTGTTTCTTTGTTCACTGTCTGGTCTTACCATTGCGGAAGTTTTTTATTGGGTAGTTTTTGCATCCACCCACAAGTCAGTTCAGTTAGAAGTATTCTACATCCTACATAGATCTTGCTGTCCGTTGAGATTGACATTATTTACGCAGGCATGCTAGACAAGCGCCCCGTCCGTATCGGCAATGTCTCCGGCGCAACCGGCGACCACCCCCAGGCCATGTTGCGGATGGCGCAGCATGGCAATGTCGATGTTATTGTCGGCGACTGGTTGTCGGAAATGAACATTGCATGGAATGCCATAACCAAATCGAAGGATCCTAATCTGGGATACGAGTCTGGCTTCCTCACCCAGTTGAGCGACTGTCTAGATATCGTTGTAGCAAAAGATATCAAACTCGTCGCAAATGCCGGGGCGTTGAACACGTCGTCTCTGATGCAGAAGGTTTGCGTACTATGCAAAGAGAGGGGATACAGCCAAATTATAGTGGCTTCAGTACTAGGAGATGATATCTCGCAGCCAATCCAGAAACAGCAGCCTGGGTTCCAGGACTTGCACCATCTGGACCACGTGGACTGGAAGCTGAAAGATTGGTCCTTGAAGCCACACTGCGCCGTGGCATATATTGGGGCTTGGGGTATTGTGGAAGCCCTTAATTCAGGCGCTGACATTGTCATATGTGGTCGTGTCACAGATGCTTCGCCAGTCATTGGTGCTGCGGCGTGGTGGTATAGGTGGCAGCGAGACGCTTGGGATGAGCTTGCTGGTGCACTGGTTGCTGGACGTATGTATGATTCCATGTCCGATATGATTGATACTTTACTCATATTAGTTGACATAGATCTTATTGAATGTGGCCCGTATGTGACAGGTGCCAACTTCTCCGGTTTTAAGCCTTTACTTCCTAAACTTGTTGATCTTTCCTTCCCCGTCGCCGAAGTTAGTCTCGATGGCAGTTGCATAATCACGAAGTGTGAAGCCTATGGCGGAGCAGTGACCAAGTCCAACACCATTTCTCAGCTGCTTTACGAGCTACAAGGGGAATTATATCTCAATCCGGACGTCGCAGCCGACCTACGAAATGTGTCCGTAGATGAGGTCGGCCCCGACCGTGTCAGGGTGTATGGTACCATCGGACAACCACCACCATCGACGACAAAAGCGATGATAGCAGCACCGGGAGGTTATCAAGCCGAAGCAATATTCTACATCAATGGTCTAGATGTGACTGAGAAGGCAGAGATGCTTCGCAGTCAGCTCGATCATGCTCTGCGTGGTAATAACTTCAGCAAACTGTCTATTGAGCTCTACGGGTCTCCTGCCATTAACCCCTCGAGTCAGCAGGCAGGAACGGTATTTCTGCGAGTGTTTGCACAGGCAAGAAATATGGAGGATATCTCGGCGGAAAGATTCAAGACAGTAATATATGCTCTCCGAATGCAAAGCTATCCTGGTATGCTACCTCCTCTATCTTAATAAGCCATATTTTAACGGAGGAAAGGATACCACATGAACCTTGACTTCCGGATGATGGACCCAAAACCATTCATGGAGATGTTTCCAGCAGTTATTCCCCTCGACCTTATACACCATGAGGTCATCCTTTCGAATGGCATACAGAAGGATGCACCGTCTCCGCCAATAACAAGAATATACCCAACCCAGAGACCTTCCTACGAAACCAAGGTTTGTATACATTTAAACCAGTTCGGCGACACGGATGCCGCCCCGTTGGGCAGTATAGTTCACGCTCGTTCAGGAGATAAAGGGGACAATTTCAATGTAGGATTCTTTGTCCGAAACTCCGACGAATACCCCTGGCTGCAATCTTTCCTAACAATAGATCGATTCAAAGCGCTGCTTGGGGATGACTGGCCACGAAAAGATAATGAACCTCGCGTGGAACGATGCGAGTTTACGAATCTGTTGGCTGTCCACTTCAGGGTCCTGGACTTCTTGGATGGCGGCATTGCTAGTTCTAGTCGGATTGATGGATTGGGTAAAGGGATAGGGGAGTACTTGAGAAGTCGAGTGGTGGAAGTACCGAAGAAGTTTTTAGAAAGAGGTTGGATCTGATTGACTCCACACTTACTTTGCCAAGGAAATATATAGAGTAGATAGATGAATACGCCGGTGTTTTGATATACAATCCTATCTTCACCACATAGATGGCAAATCCATGTCTATGTCGCCAATCTCTCCTAACCAGTCATGAAATAACCGTCCGACAGGGTCGTCTCCATGTCCTTCGAGCATCTGGAATCGCCGCAAGTCATCGAAGCATTCTCGCAAAACGGAGTCGACGCCCAGCGAGCTTGGCGTAGGATCGTTTATATCCCAGGACGGAAAGGTTGAAATGTTCATTGTGGCGCTGGCTTCTGTAGAATCTACCGGCAGTAATCCGAGGGCTGCAGACTTTGGTTGGCCCGCTGGACTGTGGCAATGGTATTCAATCGCATCCGCGAGCATGGCATCGGTTAAGCGGTTGAAGACATCATGGCAATGCTTTGTCACATTCCACCGCTCAGATATACCGACCAATACATTCGAGCATGCTCTTGAGTCATGCACTATTTCGATTATGGTGGGATCACTCTGCAGAAGGGAGGATGTACCACCAGCCGTCCGGCGTTTGCGTGCTCGGAAATGTCTACCCACAGCATAGACGTAGGACAGGCCAGCCATGAAAACAGAATGGAGGGTTATCCAGGTGTAGTTGATACGCCGGGAGCGGTGGAGGTGGGAGTATAATGTGATGGCCTGTTTCGCGGCGACGAAAATAGTTTGCAGTACGCCGGCGTCATGAGGAGATGCTGATGACAGTGCTGGTGATGGCCTATATAACATGAGGAGGGCATTATAATACAATAGCTCATACCATTCCCGCGCACGGTAGCTCGATTGGCCTCCCAGAAGGGGGTTGGACAGATCAATTTCTGGAAGTGACAACGCCGCGGTCTCATGGTGCCATTGAGCAAGGTCGTTTGCAAGTTTTTCTCTAGCCGCTAAGGCAGATGTTGCATCGCTTTGTGTTCGACTAGATGTGTTGTGTAGTGCAGACAATATATCGCCACAGATGATTCGGTAACGGACAATGTGAACAAACAACGCCGTGCGGGAAAAAGACGGCCTGTCTATATTACCCCGATCGAAGCAAGTGTCATGACTTGAGTCAGGCAGGGCGACCTCTACATCCTGCAAATGTATGGCAAGAGGCCTTCCCAAAGTAATGCTTACGATCCTGGTTGGATAATGTTAGTTTTAAAAATTAACATAAACGCAGTTCGTACCTATCCATCGCAACAACACACCAAAAACATCGGCGACGGACCTCGCAGAGTATGGTTGCATTTGAACTGTTGTCGCTGGTGTCCGTCGTCTCGGCGGCTCGATAAGTCTGCTCCCGATGCAGCCCCAGCTCGAAGCACATCCGGGAAGCAACACCAACAATGTGCCATAAACCTAGTGAAAGTTAGATCAATCAATCACCTTCATGAAGATTCTGTCACTTACTTGTTGACGTGTCCTGGATCGAATTTGTCATCCTATATTGGCACAGCAACAGCAGCGCTTGAAGGGCTTGTATACCACCATCACGCATTACCTCGTTTAGCCTCTGGGTTGCTCGAATCTGATATGCTTCTGCATCAGGAAGTGCCTCTATGTTAAACTTGTGCACACTAGCGGTGGCTATAGCGAGGATCATGTCAAATGCAAAAGACGCAAACGCATCTTGCTCCAGGAAGGAGGGATCCTGGTAGGCTTGATCCAAGGCGCATAGCGTGCTCTCACGATGGAGGAAAGGATAGCAGAGATGGTCGTGCTCAAAGTAGGCACGATGTAGATTACGTGCGACCTGCTCTGATGGCAATGCTGAAGCCTCAGAAGAAGCAGTAGTTAGAGGTGATACCGGTGGAAACCTACTCGATCTTCTTCCTCGTGGACCTCTTTCTTGTGTGCCCTGGGACGGGGAGCTGACCATAGTCGCACTGACCAGGCTAGCAAGGAATACACCGCTGGCAGAGCCCAGGAAGTGCTGCTCACCTCCTGCCCCACTGGATAGAAAGGTGACTTCCTCTATAACGTCATTCTCGTCGTCTTCTATTTCATGTAGTCTAGAAGTAGCTTCTCCCGGGGCATTATTCAGTGCTCTTGTCTCTGATCCCACTTCGTTCCCATCTCCACTAGTTTCACTTTGAGCGACTGGGGAAGCATGACTAGCTAATTTCGCCGCTAAGCTACGATTAGTAGCTTCGACGTGTTTCAAACGACGCTGCAATTTCTCCAGGAGTTGCTGATGGCCTTTGGTCCGATCAACATACTTGCAGGCAACCCCAGCCTTCCGGCATGGCCCACAAGCTGGAAGCGCTTTGTCGCATTTTGACTTGCGCCGATGGCATCTGTCGCATGCATGCATGTTTCAACGTCACATCCGACCACACTGGAAGTAGTGAGCAAGTGAGCTGGAACTCCGTTGTTTTCGGCCAGGGAAGCCGGCAGACTTTAGTCCCGCCATCCGGACACTAGAACTCGCATTGTTGTGGGGATGCTACGGACTAATGCCGCCCGGCTCTTCGCTAGTGGCGTTTACCCCGCGTCTTCTCCAGGCTGAATTCTGCGGGGACTGAACCGTAGCCCTAATGCTAAGTGGCTTCGGACATTGTCCGTCGGTGACGGCCGCCGATGCCGATGTTAACTGAAGCTGAGTCAGGACCCTTGTATTTGGAGTTATGCAGAAATCTTGCAATCCTAACACGCCATATATATCGTCGATTCTTACTGAACTCCTCGAGACCAATTTTCATACGGACCTGCTCCGAAAAGCGTCAGAATACACGACCCACCAGGCTCTTGTTTTGATTGTGGAGACATGACAGCACAGGACGAAAAGCCCCACGAACATGAAGTGGAGGACGTTGAGAATGGCATCCGTGTAGGTAACAGTGCTTCTCTGTCGATACAGAACAGTAGATGGTGTTGACTGTGGTTCAGGATAGTTCAAATAGCCTAGAAGAGGCACCCGCTTATGACATTGCCGCTGAAAAGGCTCTGGTATGGAAACAGGACCTACGCATCGTGCCTTTGTCTGCATTTATCTACTTATTATGTTACCTTGATCGCTCAAATATTGGTAAGATTGCCCATGAAGGCCATGCCCATTGGAATATCATGCTAAGCCTTATTGACTCTAGGAAATGCCAAGGTATTGAACAAGGACACGGGCAACGACCTTCTCTCCGAAACAGAAATGAGCAATTATCAATACACGTATGCACTAAGCTCTCTGCTATTTCAGAGCATTTGTTAACTGTGTCTTTACTAGGATCGCGTTGATGGTATTTCTTGTGGCATATGGAATATTTGAGGTACCCTCAAACTATTTGTTGAAGAAGCTGAAACCCAGCGTATGTATCTATCGCCTAGTCTGTTTTCTTCCGTGGCTCGCTAACTTGACCTAGAGGTGGATTGCGTTCCTCATGCTTGCCTGGGGAGGCATCACAATGGGTCTGGGTGGCTCTCGTAACTTTGGAGATGTTACTGGTATTCGGTTCCTGCTCGGGGTCATTGAAGCTGGGCTGTTCCCCGGACTTGTATATTACCTAACATTTTGGTATCGGGTCTCGGAGCGTTCTATACGTGTGGCACTCATTCTCGCCTCTGCTACACTAGCCGGCGCATTTGGTGGCGCTATCGCTTATGGAGTTGGCTACTTGAACAGAGCCCATGGTCTGTCGGCCTGGCGCTGGCTGTTCATAATCGAAGGAGCCCCGTCGTGTGCGTCGGCGATCCTTGTATGGTTTCTATTACCAGACTACCCGGAAACAGCAGGCTGGTTGAATGCCGCAGATCTCAACTTGGCAAAACACAGACTCCGGCTGGAAGGTTCCAAGAGCAGTGCGAAAACGATGAGTTGGTCAGACGCGAAAGCTGTGTTGACTGATTGGCGATTATACGGCCATTATGCGGTATGTGCTATGCCCTTCACTCAATAGTAGTCTACTAACATATAGTAGATTTATTTCGGCATTTCGACTCCATTCTCGAGTCTTTCGCTCTTTACCCCATCCATTACTGCCGGCTTGGGGTACGAGAACCTAGAAGCCCAACTGATGACGGTCCCGCCTTATGCAGTTGCATATGTAGTAACGGTTGCGGTTTCATGGTCAGCCGACCACTTCAACGCGTATGTTAACCATACACCTGGACTCTAATATTGCAACTGACTTAGTCTCCGCGGTGTACTAGACGCGGAATCCACGCAGCGATATTCTCATGCATCGGTGCTATAGGTTTCTTAGCCTCTGCTGTCTTACCCGCAGATGCATATCAGGTAAGGCTAATTCCATGACAAGAAAAGCTGAGCGTCTAACGTTACCATAGAGTCGGTATGGCTGCTTAATTGTGGCGGCCACTGGCGCCTTTTCATGTATTCCTCCTCTTCTTGGCTGGTTATCTTCTAACCTCCATTCTACTGCTGGCGCCGGGCTTGCCATCGCGCTCAATATCTCTTTCGGCGCACCGGGTCAAATTGTCGGGGTGTGGATTTATAAGGCAAATGAGGCTACTCGGGGATACCCCACGGGCCATTGGACGAATGCTGCTCTACTACTGTTTGTCTGTGTTTCGTGCGTTCTTCTACATATCTACTATGTGTTTTTGAATAGGAAACAACGGGGGAGCGGGGAGGCCAAAGCTTATGTTTATTGATCGGAATCCCGTTCATGGCAATTGAAATGAATGGATAGATGCTAGCAAGGCATCTAACATTTTCCCGTTCAACCTTTCCTCATTTTCGTCCGTTATCTGATTTTCTCAGTCCAGTCCATATGGTAGAGCATACCGTATCAATGTACCCACACTTCGTATGACAAAGGATTAACGGAAGTAATGCTGGCTTTGCCAGACTTTGCTTTATCATGCCGGAACCTACTAACGGACCTCATTTGTGTAAAGCTAATATACCCAGAACATTACACGTCATTTGATCAGGGCTTAATCTTGTGTACATTCTGAGTCCTGTTTATGGAGTTATGTGTAGCCGTCACTGGGACAAATGTATCTGTTACCGCACCATCCTAGGTTGTCAGATAGATATATTCATCCTTGGACATTCTATAGGCCCTTTGCTCTTCACCTTGCCTTTCACACAAAACACACTCGGACCTAAATTCAACTATAACCCCTAAGTTGAATACAACAACCGACTAAGTTTATCCTTGCACGCAGAGAGAACAACTACTTGCTGACGAAGACATCATCTCCTCAATAACAGTATCGGTATACGCCCATAGCAGCGACGAATAATCCGAACAGAATGCCAACCCTGTGTAGAACGTATTCTTGGTACCCTGGAGCGCATACAACTTCCTATAGAATCCATCCCGAATATCAGCATTGTTGACCGACACTGTCGTTGGCGTATGGTCACCGAAAACGACAATCTCAGGATTACCGCCCGGAAATGTCCCTGCTGTTCCCATCCGACGAATATCAGAAAGCATGAGGTCCTTTGCTTGCTGCGCGGTCAAAGTGCTGTTACCGATGATTTTACTGACAAGGTATCCTTCTACACCCGAGTATTGTAGCTCTAACTGGAAAGGCGGTAGCGGGAGATTGCCGGGGGTGTTGTCGGGGTCAGCGTTGACGAGTGTCGTGGCATTTGGAATTCCTGTGTTCTTGACGATGGCAACGTAGTAGTTAACCCAGTCCCATTTTTGGAAGAGGGAAGATTCTGGCGTGACAAGGTCGAATCCGTCTAAAGATTCCATAACGGGGACAAATGTGACGAGAAGCTGTTTGGCTTTGATAAGCTTGCGAGTGCCGTTGGCACTTTGGACGACGATCTGGATGCGAAGGTCCGATCGTTCGGCCTCGATCGCACTGGTCTCGTAAAGCACGTCTGATCCGAGGATTTCCGATGCCCTCATATAGACCTCGTACATGCCCTTCTTCGGTGTGATATATCCGCCATGAAGGAGCGAATCAGTCTGGCGGAGACCGCAGAGCTGAAGAACACGAACGAGTGCGGCTTGCAGGATATTGCCAGCGCCATGAGCGAAGATTTTCACGATTTGGAGAGCATCCTGGATAGCGGCTGCCTCCACAAAATCACCAAAAGGCATCAGAAGCTCCTCAGGAACTGGAGTGGGCAGATTGTACAGTCCGTCTTTCAGATAGCTGAATTTTTCAATAGCTGCGCGGTACATTTTTGCAGCCTCAGCGGGGGACGAACTCCCAAACGGTGGAGGCACTTTCTTCCCAGTTCTGAAGTTGACATATTCAGTAGTTAGGGTTCTTGGTAGCAGCGGTTTGTGGTCTACTCCCAGATGCCTGAAGTAATTACGACTTAGCTCGTCGTTGAAGACTCCCTCTACGCCGTAGTCGATGTACTGGTTGTGGCCAAAGTAGAGCGTTTCAGTGTGACCGCCTAGGACCTTGTTCTGCTCGACAACTACCACGCTCTTCGCTTTGTCTTTGAACCTGATTGCTGCGTATGTGCCTGTGGATCCGCCACCAAGAATACAGACATCCCTGATGATGATGTCACCAGGTGCAAAGTCCTGCTCGTTGATTGCTACTGCGCAGGGGGTAATTGTCACAGAAAGAGCTATCCCAAGTAGGAACCTGGCAATCATAGATATAAAGCCCATTTTGGTGTGTGATATGGGTATGGCAGCAAATCGCCCAGTATAAAAACGGCACTGAAATGCAAGTAAGAGAAATAGGCCGGCGGCCTGTTAATATGGATGCTCTCTGGCTCTGATTACATTAGGAGCTGAATACCCTTTTTTAGTTCACTCAAATTTATCCTGGCTTTCACCATTTTACAGGAAGTCGTGAACCCAGTGCAGCGAGATCCTCAAGAAGCTTCTAAATATGAAGTCGAATTCACTGTTGAGAGAGTAATATATTCCTGGCCCGAAAGTTATAATAAACGGCTCGAGGCGCTGGTTTGACTCTGCAAGCATTGTATAAGCCAATTGATTCCACTCCCCTTAGCACCTGTGAATAGGTGCTCTGTGGGGAATGGAGAATCTCTGCGGGCAGGATGATCGACATGCCGTTCTTCGAGCTTTAGACAGATAGCTCACATGTTAATGTTAACGATCCGAGTGCATGGCACTGGGGACAAGTGAAGCTCTCTACTCATTGACATGTAGCGAATGAAGAAGATGCCAATGAAGGGCACTCCTAGGCAGTCTAGGCCTGGCGTGAAAGGTATGAGCGATCTTCGATGGGTATTTAGAACGATAATTAACGGTCTACTCATGACTACTCAGGAAAACGAATCATCGAGCCTAAAATGATGGCAATGAATTGCCTCAGTTATATTCTGCTTCATAATTCAATGCATTGAGTAGTACCGTAGTGATAGATATGAGGAAGACACGAGAGGGATATTTCTATCTTGGAGTCAGTGATTAAATATTTTGCTAAGTTGGTGAGCGTGCAGCAGGGCAAGGTGAGATTCGGGGAACGATGACTTTCTTTTCTATTTTTCATAACCGAGGTCAAAAGCCTCAGCGTGTCTCCTAGCGCACTCTAGTGTTCCTCCGCCGCACTAGACATCAAGAAAGGAGGATAATAAGCCCGAGGCCTATTACTACAATACTATACGTGTATTGATCAGTTTGTCAGGCAGGGGGGTATGCAGCCAAATTCAGAGCTTCAAGAAAAATTGGATGGGAAAAAATGAAGCAGAGAAAGCAGCAATAACAGAAAAAACCCCAGTAGAAACAGAGAGACTGTAGGATAGACAATGAAAGGAGATCGACGAATTTCTTTCCATGTTTAGTGGGTCTGGGCCACTATCCAACACCTCAAGTCTGCAACTAAACCTCACCTATCACACTAGTCACACTAGTCGTGCGCCGCCACTTAGCGCGCGAATTGTCAGCGCTTACGGAGTCATTGCGTTTCGAGAAAAGTAGTTGTAAAGCAGGGATAATGTACGTACCGAAGCTTCAAGCAGATAGAGGGGGAAATAATCACTGCGCTCGATAGCCCTACCAGCTCCATGGCTCAGCAGCAACCATCCCGGCGCGTCCTCGAATGGATCAAACAGCAACAAGCCGAAGCGGGGGACGCTTCACGTAGAACGCGTAAGACAAAGACAAAACATCGAAGCTCGCTCGATGACGCCCTGCAAAACGATCCAGCCGCGTTTGGCAACATCCCTCAGCAGATTCCACTGCCTAGATCTCGCGATGGATCGTCGACAGCCAGCGACCATGGAGAACGAGACCAAAATGCAGCCAGGTCTTCACTGGAGCTGCTGGATCGCGATGACACTTTCATACTGCCTTCATCTATTCCATTGCCTCCATCACTGCCACCGTCACCAAAACAATTGGCAGTGCAACGACAGGCGACAGATAAGCTGACAAGGGAGCGCCCATCCTACGCTGAAATCCTAGACCGCGCAGCAGGTGTCTTCGACCACATCGCAAATGGAAATATCCGCAAAACTCCACGAGTGGAGAGAACCTCAATCATGCTCTATGAATACTATGACGATCACACAGCCTCGAGTGTAGAAATCGACAACCCTGAATCAGTTGCCAGCTATCGCGACGCGCCCGAGGGATTGAGCAGGCGCGTGTTTATCGTCGAAGACCTATCAGAGCGTACTATTCACGCCTTGGGGGAGACGTTCGGAGTCACTCCAGAATTCTTCGAGGAGCATCTGTTGAACTCTGGTTACAGTGGCGCGCAGTATGACGATCCACCGGCACGGTCATGGAAGACAGCAGGGTTGAACAAGTCATACGTGTCAATTCAGTGGGTTCGGCCCATGTATCGGCGCCAACCACTATTCTCTAACCGCGACCGGGAAGACCTACTAGATTTGAATCGTGATGGGCTAGATTACATATCTGGAAACTCGATCTTTAGTCTTAAAGCAGAAACAAATATTTTTCGTCCCGAGTGGGACCTACGTGTGGATCCGCGCCGGACCGCAAAGGAGACAAGGGAGTTTGGCTTAGTTGAGCGGGCATCAATTTGGAAGAAGAAGGTTGAGGATAGGGACTATGAAACCGGTCAGTAATTGCCTCGCCTGTGGATTCATAACTTGGAAAACTAAACGAAAGTACAGTTATCGTGCTGCTTGATCCGCTGCCGGCGATTAGTTATAGCCATGATCAGACGCAGGAAATCCTACAGATTGCTGCTAACGCCGATAGTGATCACGATGAGCATGATACTGGTGATGGTAATGGAGAAGGAACTCGGCCAATCCTGATAATCGAGGGCGATGATGGCGTCGAGGCGCTTGCGATCCCAATCGAGAACCCACGGCGAGAGACAACTGGGCGTCGGGTATTAGACTGGTTGCTCAGGCGACAGAGGCAAGAAGTCCACAAGAGAAAAGTCAATCTCGAGAGAACTATTCAGGTTTTGGTTAAGCAGATGGCTGCCCGGAAGACCGTTACTATCGACCTGGAGGAGGCTATTGTGACCGGTGATTTCTTGGCGACTCTCCAGGATGAACTCAACGAGACCAGGTCCACACGGCAGGAGATCCATTACATGGTAGACAAAAAGGCTACCCCACTCAGTTTGGTAGATACCCTGCTTGAGATCATTCGGCAAGACACTCTAACTTTGCTTCGGGTGCTCAATGAGATCTTGAGCGACATGGAGATTGATATCCTCGACGACACGAAGATAGAGGATCGATTGGCATTGTGGCGCCAACTCATAAGTAAAGCTGAGCGAGAACTATCGGATCTCATCACGTCTATTAGGAGCTTTCTGGCATTTTTCGATATCACACACCCAGCCAATGCATCTCTAGCAGTAGCAGATGGCAGCTCAGACATCAACCGAAGTGTATCAGACCTCTTCGACCAAATAAACCAGATTCTCACCCGGCTACGACGCGCATCTTCATCCTTGACATCGAACATGGGTCTTCTGGACAGCCGACGCTCCATCGACGAGGCGCACGCCGTAACGCGACTCACTGAGCTAGCGTTCATCTTCATTCCACTGTCGTTTTCAACATCCGTGTTTGGAATGCAAATCGAGCCCTTCAAAGATTCAGCGCCCGTGTGGAAATTTGTCGTTGTCGCAAGCACTGTGACAACTTTCGCGTACCTGATGCGATTAACAATGCGCAGCCAATGGCTAGCAAGTCTGAAGCAGAGTGTGAAGCTGGATGTTAGACGATACGCGGAGCAACGCGGCCTTCCCGTGCAGGTTAGGTCTCTATCGATGTTCCTACTCTTACAATGGTTCGGAAGTGCACTTCTCCGGAGTACTAAGGCAACCTGGGTATGGATAGATAGGAATAGTCGCAAGGGTGGGGCCGAGTTGTGGAAGGTTGTAGGATTCCCGGTAGGTCTCCTTCTGATGACTGGGATTGTTGCAGTAGCACCCATAGCCGTACTCTGGACTCGGAGTTTGGATCAGGGCGTGCAGGGCACAGTGACCGTCGTAATCATGGTTGCCATCCTAGGCCTGGTGGGCGTACCATATTGGCGCCGTTCCAATCCAGAGTTTCGCTATGCACTCCCAAGAATGGTTATGCGCCTGCTCGAGCGTATTCCGTCAACGATCCGCGGATTGCTTCTCTGGGTGCTGGGGATTATGGCCCTAGTTGCAATCCCGCTCGCATTGATATGGACGCGTCCACTGGCGTCGGGTATTAAAGCAGGGTTGACTGCCGCCATTCTAGTGATTCTAATAACTGGTGTCGGATTTCTTGGGGCGCAGGTTCTGTATTTTAGGGCTGCATCCTTTTCGTGGAGAAGTACGACCTCCTCGGAGGGGACATCTGTCTCCGGAGAGGCGAGCGCACGGTATTTTCGTAATTAAAATCTACTATATCTTGGTGAACTGGATATATCGCACGCATAGTACACTGTCCTCTCGTTCTGAACTCTCTAGAATCAAACACCAAAATTACTGCAACCCTCACTAACAAAAAGAAAAAACGAAAACGCAAATGCCAATTCAAAGTGGGCATAAAAAGTAACATGAAATCACTCCCCATCCGTCAACCGACGGAGAAGACTAATACTCATGATCATAACCAGCAAGGCCAGAGTAACAATCCCAAGGCAGGCCACAGCAGCCCACCCGAGAATCATTGCCGCCGTTCCAACATGGCTCTCGATGGCCCCATACGTAAGACTCTCGGCCATGGTGCCTGCAGCGCTGCTATTAATATGCTGCCAGAGGATTGAGATCAACGCGAATATGAACCCCAATGAACTCAAGCCCAGTGCAGCTTGCGACACTGGTCGTGAAGGGAAGGGCTTGACTTCGCGCTCTGAACCGGTCTCGTCGACTTCCTCATGCCATCCAGGGAAAGTTCCTAATGCGAGCAAACAAATGAATGTCGCGACAACGGCAACGAATCTAGTTTTCCATGTTAGGGCTACCCTCCTGGTTCATACTATATGATCTAGAATTATAAAACAGTTTTATGTATCTCCACAGGGATGGTGAAAGAATACTATGAAAATGAACAAAAAGGAAAGACTGGAGCAACTCACATCAAACCGTCAAAAACAATGGTCTCCTTGAAGTTCTTGGCAATCCAAATCAGATTCAGTGGATCGGCAGTGACATTACTACCGTATCCCTGATCCTTGACCATGCTGGCCAACGCTGCAGCATTGTTGGAACAGAACTGCGCGCC